GACACGGGTGCAGCTCCTGGTGTCTTCTCACAGAAGCCACCCCTGCAGCCCCCCCCACTACAAAAACCTTGCCGTGCAAACCCAATGCAATTTTTTTCCTACTTAGGCCACCTAAATCTGCCACGTGAGTCCAAATCCAATGCCTGTTGTGAGGGTTTTGTGCCATGGCTTTGTCATTGCACCTGGAACAGAAAGTTACAGCAGCGGTTAATGAGAGAGAGCTCGAAACAAAGAGAATGTGCTTCCCCCAGAGGAAAAGGCCTGTTGTGTCTGATACATGGATTCTTACCTGCAGGTTACGACTGTCCGGCTACTGAAGGGATCTTTGAGTATGCGGCAGCTGTGGGAGGAGCCACCATCACCGCAGCCCAGTGCCTGCTGGACGGCAAGTGCAAGGTAGCAATTAACTGGCCTGGAGGGTGGCATCATGCAAAGAAGTAAGAAAACAATCTCTTCCCTTGTGTTTTCTCACCTGGTGTCTGAACCCCGCCTCCTAGCTCCCAGCTTCCCTGCAAATCCTCAGGGTGTGGTGATCCAGCTGGAAGAGAGAGCAAGGTGTGAGATGGGTGAGGGAAGGCAGGAGGTAGATAGGAAAGAAGCAGAGTGTAGGGCAGAGGCCTGAGAGTAGGCTGGTTACTGCCCAATCCTGGTGCTATCATGGACTGCAGTGCGGGTCTGGGGCAGATATATTCAGAGGTGTCCCAGCATCCGTTGATACTAGGTTATCTCTGGGAGTTCAAGTGGGAATTGATTTTTGCAAAGCCCATAGAGAAGGGCTGTGGAGAGGCGAATGATTGGTGTTGCTCCCAACTTGAAAGAGGATGGGAACGTGGCGACATGTTGTCCAAATTGTTTTGTGTGGCTGTTTTGGTTTCTTAATAAGAGGTTTGAAACAGTGCAGGACTGACCTCTGGTTTTCCCCATGCTCTGTGGGTGGCTGTTTGCTCTGAGCTGTAATGTCAATAACGATCTTCCAAAACAACAGGAGAGGAAGTAAAAATTTCATCCCTGACTCCTGTGATTCTGTAGTGGTAAAATAATTTGTTTCTATGGCTTCCCCATTTTCTATGGATGTATGTTTTATTTTAACTTGTGTCCCCCATGTCCCAAAACATGAGGCCTGTATGCAAATTCAGACAACACAGCACCCTTCCTTGTCTCCAGCTAACTGGCCTTTGCAGTGCTGTTCTGTTTCCCTGGGGAGCCCCAGAAATTAGCATGAACCACATGTCTAACCCTAACAACTTGTACATGAGTGTGCAGGTTTCTCTTCTTGCTCCAGTGACTTTTCTGACCTGGCAGAGAAACTCTGAAGGTGTAACGGTAGTGTGCAAACTCCAGCGATGGCAACATCTCATCAGGACCTTTTTCCTGGTCAGCACTTTGCTGAGTATGGGTTCAACTACGGGTTGCTGAGAAAGGAGAGAGTTTAGCTTGGCTGAGCTGAGCCCTCTTGCTCTTCACAGGAGGGATGGCTTTTTAAAAATCTTCTGTTCTTTTTTATCTTGATTGCATGACTTATAAAATGCCTGTAACAGGAGAAATCTTAGCAGTGTTGCTGCCACTGAGCTGTGCTATGAGCACTGTTCTGGGAAGCAAATAATGTCTGTTTAAAAAAGGCATTTAATACTTACTGATCCCAAAGGAGCCTTCCCAGTCACCCAGTGAAGTGACATGGGATGCTGCAGGATAGGCAGCAGCTGTGGTAGGTGCCAGTCCACTGTGAAGGTCCAGCCAGACTGACACCCAGCTGCAGGTGCCTGGTGCTAGGACGTGTGTCCTAGCAAAATACATGTCCTTTTGTCAAAAAAGACCTGCTGTCTGGTGGCTTGGTTACTTTCCAAGGTCATAAAGGTAGGAATGGTAACCACTGTCACCTGGGGCTTTTGAAGCTCCCAATTCACTGGTATGCCTTTGGGGCAGAAGGTGAGATCTGAGTCAGTGCCTTTTCTTGACCCAGCCCTGCCCTCCCTTCCGGCAGTGACAGACCGAGCTCTGCTGCGTGGATCTGGGGGGGTAGAAATCCCAAGTGCTGGCCCTGAACTGCAGCTCTGAGGCTGGTCAGCCTCTCTCCGAGCTGGTGTCCTGCTCTGCTTGGCCTGGAGTTTGAAGGAGATCGTGTGTTACAGCATGGAGAGAGCCCAAGACATGACGTATTTCACTTTGCTTCCTTGCGGGCTGGGAAGGATGGGAGGGGTACGGTGTGTAATCACAGTTAAGGAAGATTCCCAGGATACCTGCTAACATCCCAGTTCTCAGCATCACTGTAAATGAACAGTCACTGGGAAGCATCTGTGCTCCATGACATTTGCAAGGACTGAGAGCAGATGCAGTTCTGCCACCCTGTGCTTGCTCCTCGCCATTTCCAGCTGTTTACTCAGCAGGGAGTGTTGGGGGAAATGAGCCAAGTGCTGTGGGTGAAAGTCAAGAAGCATTTCCAAGAGGCATTTCCAAGAGACTCCAAGGTCCTGGAGTCGTTTGAGCCTGGGGAAGAGGGGTTTGGACACTCCTGTTGCAAAGTATAAAGCTTTGAAATCAGCTATCCAGGGCTGACTAAGAGTGCATATGGGCTAGTGCCAAGTGGTGATGGGGACTTGACTGCGAAGCGAGTCTGGAGTAGGATTAAGAAACTTTCTGGTTCCTTTGATGCCAGCAGTATCGTAGCTGCCCCCAATATATGTCAGGGATAAATCTTTCCGTGCAACATCTGTCCTCTGTTTAGCTGCTGGGGCTCTCTTCTGACTGAGCCTAGGAACTGTATGGTGGGGGACTGCATGTGGAGCATCTTGTTTGCGTTTTCCTGGGGAGGAAGGGAGAGTGTTGCATTGGGGAGACCTTCGTACCCCGAGACTTTGGAACAGAGCAGCGGAGTGTTCCGACTGCCTTGGACCTGCCTTTCACTGTCAGGACCTTCCTGGGAGCTGTGACCTGGACAGCAGGGATGGAGTGGCTGCCTGCCTGTGCCTGTCCAGCACTCACAGGAAAATGGCCGAGCAGGACTGTCCAGGGGCCCGTCCTCTTGCTGCAGAGGGAGAGGAGGTACAGCAGAGAGTGGGTTTGAGTCCAGTGGCTCTGAACTTCTCTAAAATATCTCAGGTGCAGAAAGCTAACGTTTTATTTGTGCAGCAGTGAAATGGTCAGAGGTACCCTGCCAAGCCCCCCATGGGTCAGAGCCTCTCTGCAGCAGAGCCAGCTGATTCTTTACCAGCTGCCAGCAAGCCTAGGGTTGAGAAGTGATTGGCACAAGCGGTCATGTTCTCTGTGCTTCCCAGCCATGCTTTGAGCTGCTCTTGACCCATCCCTTGGTCGCTGATGGGCCTTGGCCAGGCTCTTCATCCTCCTCTGTGCCCCTGCGAGGTGGAGACTTGCAAAGCGAAAGTGACAATGCCAAGATCAGTGGCAATTGCGTTGGTGATGTTCAACCTCACGGACATTGTTTTCACAGAGATGAAGCTTCTGGCTTCTGTTACCTGAACGACGCTGTCTTGGGGATCCTGCGGCTGCGCCAGAAATTTGACCGTGTCCTTTATATTGATTTGGATTTGCATCATGGGGATGGTAAGACCCAGCGCGGGCTGCAAACAGCACACCCGCACAGACTCGGGGAGGAATGGGAGAAGTGAAGGCCTGTCGGGGCAGTAGAGCTTTACCTGCTGCAACAGCCATGGCTTTGCCTCCTTCAGTGCAGTCAAGTTCCCTCAATCCATTTCTGCCTTGTCCTGCTTTATGGATTTGCCCTGAGCTGCTCATCAGACCTCTCCTGAGGGTCTGGGCAGCAGTCTTGTACCTAAAGCAACAAACAGCGTGTTCCCATTCCAGTAATCCCCCCTGCCAGTGGCTCTCCAGCAAGGACTTCCCCCAGTCCCTTGTCTCTCATCCTGGCAGAACAGCTGCCGACAGTGTTTAATTGTTTAATGCCACCAGTGCAAGAGGGAAGCAGTCAGTAGTAAATGGTGCTTTTAAAAGAAGGCTTGACGCTGTAAAACTAAAGCCAGAGCTGGCCTTGCTGAAACTGTTCTCTCCTTCAGGGACGTTATTTCAACACCATTCAACATTTCCTCCTCTCCTAAATTTTATGGTGTGTTTCATTTTGCTCCGTTTTCCCCCCACATTTGGTTTCTGTTAAGTTTCCTGTTACTTCTTTCTCCCTCCCCACCCCCACTATTTTAATATGTCTTTAAGGAAGAGAAAAGGCGTGTTGAACTGCAGCAGCATTAAGAAGAAGTGAGAGAGCCCAGTAGCTCTGGTTCTAATCAGCCAAGCTCTGGCCAAGGCATCCCTGCTCAGCTCCCTCCCCCAGCCTTGAAGGCCAAGTAATACAGGCGAGTGCTGCTAACGTGGGCACTGACCTGGGGTATTGAGAACCATTCAGTACTGATTAGCATGAGACCCGCCAAATTCATTTCAGTTGTGACCTTTGCTGCAGTTGAATTCGGGTCTCTGGTGATTAAGGATGGATTTATTGAGCCACATCTGGTTTTGTGCTTTGTTCGTTCTGTTCCTGCTCTGCTTGCTGCCCCATATTTATTGAGTGGCTCGTTTGTGTGTTTAGACTCTGTCATTTATGGGAATGATGCATGAAAGGTTTTTTCTCTTCCCTTTTCTCATAGGAGTTGAAGATGCCTTTAGTTTCACCTCGAAAGTCATGACTGTTTCTCTGCACAAGTTTTCTCCAGGATTTTTCCCAGGCAAGTTGAACTTGGGAGATTTATGTTAATTTGGTTCACGCATCACTGATGAGGTCCCAGCAAAGGCAGGCTACATCCCTTCTGTCCAGCAGAGGTGTCTCACGCCTCTTCTGTTGATCCAGGAGAAGGAAAGAGGGGAGAACTAGATGTTTGGCATTTCCCCCTTTCTGGTTGTGGCTATGCTCTGGGCAGAGCCACTGCTGGTCAGCCACCTGCAGCCCTTGAAAGCTGTGTGACAGAATTGGGCAGAGGGTGAGAACCAGGTCCATCCAACCCCTCTTTTATTGGTGGTGGCAAGTGGACTTCTCCATAAGCATGCTCTCTGCTCTCATCTGAGACATCCCACACAATTCTCTTGCTGCTGATCCCCTTTCCCGTGTAATTAACCATGGGGTGTTTCTGTTTTTCAGGCACCGGTGATGTGACAGATGTTGGCCTGGGGAAAGGTCGCTATTACAGCGTGAATGTACCTATTCAAGATGGCATTCAGGATGAGAAATATTATCAGATCTGTGAAACGTAAGCCCTCTTGCTCTGATACAGTTTACTTGGATGGGATTTTAGAGAACAGAGACTGCACAGATTTTGTTTATTTACTATTTTTAATTACAGTCCTTCCTTAAAGCTTGCCCCTTCCCCTGTTACAGTTTTTGATTACAACAAACGTGGATCCTAGGAGGTCTGAGGTCTTGTCTGAATCCTTAGGCAAACTGAATATACAGAGGCATTTGTGGTGGGTGGCTGGAGGGTCTCTCTGCCACGGGTCAGCCTTGTGTGTTTAAGGAGAGACTGAGAAGGGACAAGTACTTTTTAGCTGTGGACTTAGGGCTAGATGCTTTTTCTTCAAATAAATGCTCTGAACCCTGACCATCTGTGAGAGATATGCTTGAGGCTGAGCTAAAAGTGTTTTCCAAGCACCTTTTGTCTATGCTAGAAGAATGAAAGACTGAAGGCTGAACGTCTGCCGGTGATTGAGCTGCCTCCCGGCAGGCCCTTCTGTCACTCAATTGGTGATGGAGGTCGGAGGTGTAAGTCACAATCTTGCCTGTATATCCAGGTGAAGGAAAGCCCTCCAATTTGGGGAGCTCCTTCCCATGTTGCTGGCCATCTCCTGACACTGATGGGAGGACATATCGTGTGGCACTGGTCCTCTTCCAGTGGCAATCGCATTGGGGCTGTGAAATTTTGACTGCCATTCTGGGTTTACTTGAGCAGTTGCAGAAGACCATTCTCTTCCATCTTCCCTGTCAGCCACTGACTCTTTTAGCTGTTCTTCTGACTTCTCTGTCAGCCGCTTCCTTCGGGGGCTGGCAGGGGCGCAATGAATTGGATACTGCTAAAAGAAAGAGCTTGGAGAAGTCTGAAAACTGGCAACATCTGTTCATCTCTGCTGCAAGGGCAGGCAGTGCAGCCCTGCCTCGGCGCACTGCTCTGCCAGGGCCAGAAAGGAACGGCTGGGGTCACCTTGTCTTCGCGGCCCTATGTTGCTCATGAGACTTCCCTGAACTTGTTTGTTATTTCAGGAACAGAAAAGGGGCAGAACATCCCCTTTGCACATGTGCCAGGTGAGTGCACAGCCCACAGACCACACGGTCCTTGCTGGCTGCGCCATACCCTGGCCACAGTGATGGGGGTACCATCCCACTGGAGCCAGCTGTCACAGGTCAGAGGTTCCTGTGCCCACAGCTGTGAAATGGTGAGAGGTCTTTGCCATGCTCATGATGCATCTCGATGCAAAGTCAGTTTTCTAGCTGGGATTAGTCTGCTGTTGCAGGGAGGTGTATCGGGAGTTCCCAGACAGGCTTGGAGCTCTGACGGCGTGACTGAGCTGGTCTCCCTGAGGGATGCAGCCAGAAGGGGAGAAGAGTCCTGTTCCCACTGCCTTATCCTTGGCTGCCCACTGCTTGGCATGACCAGGTGCTGGGTGCTGCTCCTTTCCCCTCTTTTCCTTGCCATGAACCAGTTTACAGAGTTAACCTAGCAGAAAACTAACCCTGCTAAGCAACTTTCTACTAGTTCAGCTCTCTGAAACTGCACACCATGGGATCAGAGCAGCTCCATCATAAGCAAAAGGAAGGGGCTGGGAAGGATGGGTGGAAGGGACTACCTGCTCCTGTATGGTCAGTTTAGCTTTGTCGTCAGCTCAAGCTTGTAGCCTGCATGCCTGTGAGGGTCCATCAACATCTGCAAGGGCCTGAGACTGCAGAGCAGTCCTTCTGCTGATTTCCTAAAACAGCAGAAAGAATTACTCTGTTCCTGAGCACAGCATGGGGCAAGAAGGGGGCTAAGCTACCCTTATGCATTAACAGAGATCCCAGCAGCTACAGACAAATGCTGTCACGTGAAGGAGATGTTTATCATTTAGCTAATGTCTGCAATGTGTTTTGAAAATGAAAAGCCCTGGGAGAGAGAGTGAACTTTGTTTAAAACTCCTCATGGAGCCAGCAAAAACCTGCAGGGATGGACTAAAATACTCTTCTCCGTCCTCACTGGGAGACCTTGCTGAGAAATAGTAGGAAGCCTTGGCCTGAAGTGAGTTTCATTGGGGAAATAATAGAAGGACTCATGATAATGATTGCATTTTGGTGGAAGTGGAAAAGCCCTTTGCACAGTGAGATCGGTGAGGGGGCAGGGGACCCCCAGTCTTTCCTAGCGAGAGGTGAACTTTCCTCTGCCCGTGTTATTTCACATGCATCTGCCCATTTCTGGTGGGTCCATGAGGAATGTAAAGCTTCCTAGGGAAAAGGTGAGCTGTTTGAACTGACCAGCGTCAGCTGCCTGTCTAGCAAAAGTGAAGAAGCGTGTCCGAGGGAGATGGGGGAAGAGGGACCCAGAGACAGCTCACAGGAACTAGATGTGCTTGCAGAGGTCTGAGTGCAGGCAACGACAGCCCTCACCAGCAGCAGACAGTGTCAAGAAGCCCTACAGTGTTGGAAGAAAGCTGGTTCAGTCCTCCTTACTCCAGGGAAGGGTAGTACAATGTGGGCCTTGGGCAGAGGTGGAAGCCCCTCTCATCCATCCTGTCCTTGACATCTGCAGAAGAGAGGCTGACTTTGAGTCCACTCAGGAAGGAAGCTTATGCCAATTTGACCGCTCTTTTCTTGGCGCTGTGATTTTTACCATCTGCCTCAGTTTGCTTAGCTTGGTGGGACTGTGTGGACAACACGGCCTGGTAGCTGTTAAAACATGAGTGGTGTGAGTAGCTGTCGGCTACCTGGCTCTGCTAGGTACCTGGGGTGCTGGGGCCTGGCTCTCGGCATGTTCAGGCTGTGCTGCCATACCCGGGTGAATACGCATACTGAATGGAAATCCTGTTTTCCCTCAGGCTTGCATATTTGGTCTCGGGGCGGAGGGTGGGTTGAGTTTTTTCCCAGAGTTTTTCTCATCACTGGTCGAGTTTTTTCCCAGCGGTGCCTGTATTTCAGTAGTGAATTTGTGGTGCTTGTAGAGCTGATATCCTCAGCCCTGCAGGCATCTGCCTTGGCAGACCACACTGAGCTCAGTGGGGTTCCTTGTCTGGCTGCAGTGACTGGCTAAGTTTCTTGGGGTGAATACTGATAAATGCAAGCTCTTTGTCACGGGGAAGCAGCGCTCTCATTTGGCACGACAGTGATTTCTAATTGCATATCAAATAAGAACTGGTGATGCTTAGGTTCTCTTAACCAAGGCAAAAGCATTTATTACAGGGATCACATCTGTTTCTGCTTTAGCAAAATAAAAACACTGTTGTGAAAGGAACATGGTTTTCTCCATTATTTGCCTTGTATTTTGGGCTTTGGAGCACAGCGCTGGTAACAGGATTATTCCCTCTGTGGAGTTCATAATACTAAAAATCTCCTGGAGCAAAGCCAAATGTCTGACATGCCCAATTGCCTTCTGCAAGAGAGAATGCTTCTAATAAACTATCTCCAGGACACTGGCCCTGCTGCATCCCAGCATCCGCTAGAGTAGGGGGAAATGTATTTCTACCTCAAGAGCCATATGGGAGAGAGGAGAGTGAGAACCTAGACAGAGCCTTCCTCTGTTCGTCCTGTCCTGGTGAGAGGTGTCTGAGAGTTTAGCATTGTTGTTTTGCCAGACCCTGCTCTTCACTGTGACTTTTACAGGGGAGAAAAGCACCTGAATTTGGCTTGCAGCCCTTCCGCTCAGGGCGGCCATTGGAAACGTGTGGTTTGATGCTACCACTAAGCTGATCAGGACTAGATCTCCCTCCCCTGTGTTCTCAGTGATGCTTTTGCCTTCATCAGCCTTGTGATTTGAGAGCTAAACTTACTGCAGGAATGTAGTGAGGCAGAAGGCTAACTGGGAGCCGAGGGAGCGTAACTGGTATGAGGGGGGTGGGAGCAGAGAATGCAGAAACCTTGAGAGGCATCGGTGGATCTGAGGGACCAGGGCCATGCCGCCAGCATCCTTCTGAGCCACGTTTGCGGTAACCTCTACCGCTTCTCCTCTCCACAGCGTGCTGAAGGAGGTGTACGCCGCGTTCAACCCAGACGCAGTTGTGCTGCAGCTGGGGGCAGACACCGTCGCCGGAGATCCCATGTGCTCTTTCAACATGACGCCTGAGGGAGTGGGCAAGTGCCTGAAGTACGTCCTGCAGTGGCAGCTAGCAACTCTCATCCTGGGAGGAGGTGAGTGCATGCGCGTCCTGCTGTTCACAAGGAAATGTGTTTGTCCTCCTGCAACCCTTCCTTGAGTGTGTGCCCTTGGGCTCAGCACTGACTGGAGTTTAGCAGAGTGACTGCTGGGCAGCGTCAGGAGGGCATTCTGTGGTGCAGTACTGTTTTCACACAGACCTGAAATCCTTGATACCAACGGGTGCAAGTCTCAATCCTGACCCTAAGATCTTGAGTTAAAGGCTGCTTGGCTCCTCTGGAGAAGAGCAGAGGCTGTTAACCCTGATGAACTGACCCTGGCTTCTCAATGGCACCTCTGATTCCCATCTCTGCTGATCAGCCCTTCAGCGCTTCTCTTTGCAAGTGAGCGCTCTGTTCCCAAACCTGCCTCTGGGCATCTGGCAATGAATGATTTTGTTTGGATTCAAGGAGGGACTCGGGAAAAGGACTGGCTGCCTGCACGGCCTGTACAGCAGGCCTGTACTCAGCCTGTACTCAGGGCAAGCTAAGGTTGACGTAGTTCTGCCATGCTGCGTAACCAGCTGCTTGTCCAGTGGGGAGAGCACAGGACAGGCTTTATGCAACAGAGCATTTCAGAGCAACAAAAGCCACTGTGTGCCAGGGAGAGCCCCCCAGCTCTGTGCCTGGAGCCGTATCAGCTCTAGCTGTTGTCTTTTTTGACATGAGGGAGATCAGGTATAGCATGTTAAGCCTAAAATTTGATGTGCTTAATGCACTTTGTTTTGGAAAGCTTGCGACTGTTCAGTCCTGCTGTGGCATGTCTGTGGGTATGCTGGGAATGGCACCTTTCAGGCAAAAAGAAACCCCAAAACTTTTGTCAAAAATGAGGGGCAACTATTTGTCATTCGTGAAAATAACAAAGGAGTGTCCCACTACTGCAGCTTGTGGCAGCATTTGAGGTGGAAACTGGGGGAGGAGTCAATACTTGCGGGGAAAAAAAAAAAAAAAAAAAAAAAAAACACCACCAAAAACACTCCCCCAACCCAAAGAGAAGGGAATGTTGAAAAATATGGTCTCCCTCTCTTTTCAAAGTGGTTTTCTCTCTTACTATTTTAGTTGTCTTTTCTGGAAAAAACCTTCTTCTGAGTCTTTTGCAGGATTGCTTTCAGCTAAGGTTTCTCCTTGTGGGCTCAAGTACCATTGCCATGGAGGTGACCATTACCATACTGACTGTGAAACCTCATTTACTTGTAAAGCAGTCGCAAGTTGTACTAATGAGCTTCATATTTGTCCTCTCAAACATGAAAGTGCTGAAGAGCTCACCAGCAAATGGCTGGGCATGTCTATTATGCTTTATGGGTCGAAGGCTGGCATTAAAAAGCAGGAATCCCTCGTCTCTACTGCTGCCCTTGCACTTCTCTCCCTGTTACCTTTGAACACCCCTCCTTGTTGCCAGGAGAGAGCCCAGCGCATGGGGCTGGGGGCTCATGCTGAGTCTGAGATGGTGGCTGGAGGATCCTGGCCTGTGCCACACTGGGTGTAACTGGGGTTCAGTTTGGGAGGTCTGCCCTGCATACAGTGTCATTCGGACCTGGCCTTGTGTAGCCAGCAGGTGCAAAATGCAGTTTTTGGCACAGCTTAAGTGGATGAAATGAGCTGAATTCATGTAAACTACACGTGTTACCTCCGCAATTTGTTCCTTCCACTAAAATCTCTCCCTCTCTCTTCCCTTTCCCCACTCTTCCTCCTCCAAAATCGCAATTCTTGCTGGAGACAGGAGGCTACAACCTTGCCAACACAGCTCGCTGCTGGACATACTTGACTGCGGTCATCCTTGGGAGAACTCTGTCCTCCGAGATCCCCGATCACGAGGTAAAGCTTTGACAAACCCTCCCTTCTCCTTGCACGAGAGCTGAGTCGTTCTACCTAATCCAAACGGCATCCTTGCCGCTCAATACTGTTTTGTTGAGACACTCTGGTAACAATAACGCACTGTCCTAGCAGCATAGTGGGTGCTTGTTCCCAAAACCCGACGCTGTCCGCATCTTTTTGCAAGGGATCTCAGGCGCCAATAAGCTCCAGTCTCAGATAATTACAGAGAGGGTGGGGAGGGGGAGTCACCTGTTTGCTCAAAGAGCTCTTTGGGATGTGCACATACTTTTGCCAGGAAAGAGCCAGGCCTTTCTCAAGGCTTTAAATTTTAGCCCTGCTTATTGACTTACAGAAAGTACCAGGTGCTTTGAAGCTTTTCTGACCAGCAGTCTTGCAGCGGGCCATGGGGCCAGGTGCTGTTCATGATCACATATGAGCTGTCTCAGTTCCAGTGCTGGTGCTTTTAAAGTCTTGAGTGGGGCTGGACAGCTGGTTGGAGGGACACAATCTAGACTGAATTTGGGTGAAATAACTATAGGTTCATAACAGGTCTCAAACCGCAAATCAGTGGTATTGACCCTACAGAAATAAACCTGCGCGTGCAAAGCAGTTGAAGCCTACAGTGACTACAGAGGAGAATTATGGTTTTGCCCTTATCTAAGGATCTCACAGACCAGTATGCATGAGGAAGTAAAGTGTTTGTGTGGATTGAAACTGGAAATTCATCATTACAGAAACTGGTGATTACAGATGCAAGATGCTTTTTGAGAGGTGTCATGCTTAAATACGATCCTTTAACCAGGTTTCTGCAGAAACAGGCTTTAAACAAGACTCGTTCTTTTGTATATGTGGGAAGTGAAAAGGGTGGATCCCTCTGTAGGACTTAACTGCTGGTTAGGTTTTGCCTGCTTGTTGTTGCTCTGAGCAGTTTATTTGTTGTGTTAATGATTCCTGCACCGAGTTCCCTGAAGGATAAGAGCAGCTTGGGAATGAGTTGATTGCAGGATATCACAAGGTACACAGTGGGGCCCTGTGTGGTCTGGCTGCTCCTTCTCAAAGGAAGTTTTTTGCCAAGAAAGATTGGACCAGATGACCCTTGAGGTCCCTTCCAACCTGGTATTCTATGATTCTGTGAATTTGTATGCCCTCCTGGGCTGGCTGGCACTTGGGCTCGAGGGCTGAGCTGGCTGCGAGTTGTGGTGCTGCTGGTGGCCAGCCTGTTTGGGTTCCCCTTACACTGAAACAGTGCTTGTGGTTTTGTTTCCGGAGATGAGATGAGCTGCTCAGGGTTCACCCTGGAGGAACAAGTTCCCAGAGATCAGTCCAGCCTGCCTCTTGGAGCTGTGGTGCAGCATTTGAAGAGGAATGAGCTGGAGGGAGGGGAAGCGTGGTCTGCCTTGGATGAAGCAGTCAGCTGCTGTTCTTACTTGGGCACCTATAGGAGAGTTTTTATGGCAGGCTCGTAAAACCAAGTGCCTGCCATGAGCAAGCACATCTTGACTCCTCCACTACAGAGGGGGTTTAGTAAGAATCATCTCTGGGGTGGTGACGTTAGCCAGCAAAGCAGCTGGTGAAGATCAGGAGCACAGCTGCAGTGCTTATTGAATGCCAGGTGAAGTGGCTGGAGTGATGGTTCATCATAGCCAGAAAGCTCTTGGGTGAATGGAGTTTGCTGGAAGTGAATCAGGAGCGAGTCAGAAATCTATGGTGCTCTGCTAGAATATACATCAGGTCCACAAAGAATGCGTGGAGACACTGGCATATGATAAGTTGTCTGATTATTTTAAAGTCTGTGGCCATGTGCTTCATCAAAGGTAATAAAGTAGCCTTGGTGATAAAGTGACCTTGGTAATAAGAAATAGCCTTGGTACATAAGTTGAACGGTTCTGGATCAGATACCAGCTAAAAGATGGTTATATTCATGTCAGTAAGCAGCAGCCTGCCTTTAGGGAATCTGCATCTCTTTTGGGACTTGGAGGAAGTGGGTAAGTGAACTGCAGCAGGGTTCAGATCCCCAGTGACGAGTTACCAGGTGGAAGCGGTGAAGTCGTGTTTGAACAGCATGAGGTACAGTATCCTGGGGCATGGCCCTTAGGTTGGCATACAGACTTCTAGTTACAGCTCTGCTCCTTAGTAGAACAAATGGATGTATGCTCCCTGGCTTTGAGGCATTGATGAACTGCTAATTAAAAGGCATTGGGAGGAGTGTTGCCTGTCAACAGGTTTATCCCATTATTATCGGCCACAGAGCCTGCTGGTGGCTGGGACTGCCTTGTAGCTGAAGGTGAGATTTTGGGCTATAGTGTGTTACCCATGTGCATGCAATGCCCTGGAGCCGTGTAGGGCTTGCCCTGAACCAAGGTGCGAGCCAGCTGTCACACTTGTGTTTTTGCCTGCAAGTGGCCACTGTGGGCTGCTTCACAGTCAGGAAGGTGTGTCCCCGATCAGCTGTTTTTGCCTCTCCTAGAGGGGTGCTAGCTCACATCCTCTGGCAGGAAATCAAGAGCTTCATTTCTAGTCTCACTAATGGCAGCAGATGCTATTTTTCATTTACATTCATAATTCTGTTCTGAAATGCATTAAGCGGTTTGTATCAACAAGTACCCTGAAAGCCAGAGCCACAGGCTGATGCTTACAGTTTTTCAAAGGATTTCCTTTATCACTTTTAAATGTTTTCTTGCTTCTTCCCATCAGCATTGGTCTGTGTTTTCAGCTCTTGAACCACAACCAAGATCAACAATTTCTGAAACCAGCTATCTGGACAAGAACATTGAAGGATCATCTTTGTTTTCTTTAATATAACTCTGGTGCAGTTACCTGCCCCCTCCATCCTCCTAAACTGGATTATTTCATAATGCTGAGCATAGTATTTACTTGCCCAGGAGTAAGGGCAAGTAAATTGTGTTTTCATATTGCATGCGGTGAGGCCATTTGCATTGAAACAAGAGATGTCCAAACTTTGCCCACTGAAGGGTTAGGATAGCAGCTCACCCCGAGCCTGGGAAGCTGTGCCCAGGAGCCATGGGGTACATCGTCCCACGTTTGCTCTCATGCTACTGCACACAGCGTAGCACTAAAGACAGCGCAGTGTGCGGTGCTGAATCAGCAGAATGTCTGCCATCCAAATCAGATGGAGCATGTTTGCTTTGAATGGCTTTGCTGATCTGTGGTGCTTGTGTGCATTTGTGCTCTGTCTTCATGGTCATGCTAAATGAGACATTTATAAAGCCTCATTAGCCTTGTGTAGTCCCTCCAAATACGCTCACAAACCAGAGAAGGTAACATTAACAGACTTTGGGCAGGAATGGAGGAAGGAGGGCAGGGACGGAAGAGACCCAGAGCATGAGGCTGATGTACCTGGGCATCTTAGTGGACCGTGGATGTCCGTAAGACTTACAAGGAGCGGCTGGGGTCACTGGGTTTGTTCAGCTTGGAGAAGAGAAGGCTGAGGGGGGACCTCATCGCAGTCTACAACTTCCTTAAGGAGGGCAGCGGAGGGGGAGCTACTGATCTCCTCTCTCTGGCAACCAACGATAGGACACGAGGAAATGGAATGAAACATCAGTAAACTAATGTGAAACACTTTCATAAACAATGTTGAGATCTTTTTGTAAGGTGTGATTTTTGTGGGATTTACAAAATGAGGAAGGCCAAGGGAGCAGAGCATCCTTGTGTGCAGTGTGAGCAAGATGGCCTGACAGGCCCTGGCTCATCAGGCAGAGTGGTGTGCTCTCAGCCCTGGCCTTCTGGCTCCTGCCTGCTGCCCTCCTGAAGGTTATTTACTGGGGAGAGGTTAAATGTTGCTCTGTTTTGCACCCAGCTGGGGAGATTTTGCCTCTGTGTGATTTTTTTTGTGTGCTCCAGCTGCACTTGCAGGAATCAAGTGTTTTGCGTGGGATACCGACTGCAAAAATCCAGGCAGCAGTGAGCCTGTGGCATGTTCGGTGTTGGGGCCCCGGAGCGGTGCTTGCAGGGCACTTTTTGAGCACGATGTGTTGGGGAGGGAGGTGTTGGCAGCTAAATGAAAGGGACTGCCGGCCAGTGACCAGCACAGGGGGTGGTGATAATACAGGGCGCTGCTACTGTGGGAGGAGGTCCTGGGGCAGACAGAGTCCCCGTAGGCCAGTTTGTAAAGATCTTCATTCTTGAATTCAATCTTTTATGCACTTTTCATGGCCAGGGATCAAAGAGGCAAGCTGTGGCCCTGTTAAGATACCACAAACTGAACACAGTCAGGTTCCTGAACTGCCTCTTCTCCTGGGGACCCCAGGAGGGTTAGAAGCAGGAGAAGTGGCATCTCAGCCCTGTCAAGGGAACAAAAAGGACTTTGTACCTGCTGTACAACCTCCGCTTCACTCCACCACAGCCCACCGCTGCTCCCAGAAGTGAGCGAACAGGAGGCCAGGCCTTTCTGAGGGGATGCAAGGGGCTTGGGGCAGGGAATGGGACAATTTGCATTTGGAGGTGGGGGGAAAGCTGTCACAAAGCCCTGATTGTAAGTAAAGCCCTTCTGTTGTTTCTCACCTGTGTGCTGGGGCATGTTGCAGTGTCTGCTGGCCACTCAGCTGGTGTTGAGCTGGATGCCTGGCCCGGCAGACAACGATTTCCAAAAGTCAACAGCTATTCCACAGAGCTGAAGAGAATTGGGAAATGGAGTTGAGCCCTTTGTAGCAAAAGCCGTTTCCCCTTCCCAGCCCACAAAAGCTTTCTTCCCAAACCATGCATCTGAGATTTTTTTTTTTCCCCCGCGCACTGCAAGAAAGAGTTGTGTCATGGTTATGTCCACTGCAAGTGTTTCTCTTTCTCCCTTGGCCTGGACGCTGGACTTTGCTCGCTTGACGTGTTGCGATGGTCTTAAATAGCATGGGAGGATAATAGCATGGGACTATTAAATAGTCTGGAGGATGGTACCTCCTTCACCAGTCAAGTGAGCAGTATTGTCCAGGAAGCTGTCAGTCTGTCTGTCTCCTCTCTGCTGCAGTAGCTGATAGCAGATACAG